TCCACCCTCGCAGATAAAACCCCAAAACAACAGTAAAGACACCAGAAAGCCGAAGAAACCATATGGGGGTTTCCGAAAATAGGGGACCCTAATATAGTACCCCAAATAATAGGATCCTTATTATGAGGACCCCAAAATAAGGTACGCCTAATTTTCGGAAAGTCCCCTTGGCAAAGGGGTCGATTGTGGTCTAAAGCTTGGGGTTCAGGGGCTGAGGGTTCAGGGTTTAGGGTTGAGGGTTGAGGGGTTTACAGGTTTAAGGGGTTGGGGGCTTACTTAGGTTTTCGCTTGAAGGGTTTGGAGTTTGGTGCTGCTTCGTCTTGGGGCTGTTGGGCCTAGCTTAACGGGCTTAGGGCCCTGCTCCACTCTCGAAAATCAAGCCGCAGGGCAACTCTGACCCCTCCTAACCCCAAGAAACACAGCACCGATATCTGCAGACATGGCAGATTCTAGACTCCCAGACGGCCGGGCCCAGAATCTGCCAAAATCCCAGACCCCACTAGAACCCATAGGTTTAGGGCTTAGGCAACCACATCCCAAAGCCCTAAAACCCTACTAAAACCTAACACCGTGACGCCTTAGCTCTCCTGCCCTCTGCCCTGCCCTACCCTGCCCTACCCTGAAATCCTGCCTGCTGCCTGCCTGCCCTGCTGCCCCTGCCCTGCCCTGCCGCGCCGCCCCTCCTATAAGGCAACCCGCGCCTCGCCCCAGAGCTTCTCCCAGGCCTCCTCCTTGATGAGCTCCATGGCAGAATTGCTTGGGCCTGGTTTAGGATTTAGGATTTAGGGTTTAGAGCTTGGGGTTTCGGGTTTAGGGCTGTGGGTTTAGGGTCTAGGGGTTTAGGGCTTTAGGGCTTGAGGGTTTGGGGTTTGGGGTTCGGGCTAATCCGAGCATTCTTTAGGTCAGGGTTTGCAGTTCAGGAGAAAATCCGGAAGTCTCAAACATAAAAAAGGCTTCAAAGCGAACCCACATCGGCCCGAGTCGCCGATAGGCCAAATCCCCAACCTGGAAATGTCTGCAACTTACACCCAAAAAAACAGTATAACAGTAATTAATCGTGATACGAATCATATCAGTGATCTTTTAAATGGAAATACGTAATAATAACAACAATAATAATAATAATAGTAACAGTAACAGTCAGCAATTCATCCTGGTAATCATAATATTAGAAGTAATCATAGCATAGTAATCATAGTAATGACATATATTAATAGTAACAATAGTCATATTAGTAACTAGTATTACTACTGTTACCATGAATACTGTCATTGTTACTATTAATACTGTCATTACCAGAATTATAGTACATCGATGACCCCCCGAGTCTTCTTGCGTCAACTCTGTGACGGCATTGGAGAGTGCGAGTCTGGCTTAAACGCCAAAGTGCATGCCAGGACCGGCCAGGGCTGTGCTTTCCCCTGGTATGTCGGTAATTAACGCCGCAATCTCTCTTTGGATGTGGCCATAAGCAAATTGAATCCATTGGGTAAACTTTTCGAACAATTCCACTGCCCGGTCTGCAGGTACCTTCGCATCATTTGCATAGAGCAAGCGTGCCTCTGCAAAGGCAGTGGACAAAGCTTGGCTTTCTGGCGCAGGTCCAAGGACTTTATCCTCCAGAACCCACTTCAAGGCTTCTTCTCCACCTTCGATCATCTCCTTGAAGAGCTGCCTGGCATTAAAGGGACCCTTGGGGTTATATAGGGGCTTTATGAGACTATATTATGAGGGGTATATAGTGCTTGTATAGGGTATTAGGATTAGGGGCCCATTTCCTTAAAGAGCTGCCTGGCGCGGCTCTCGTCGTCCAGTTGCGAACGACTTTTTGCTGCTATCAGACATCGCTCTCGACCAATGGCTTCTTTGCAGCGCAGCAGGAAGGTACACCGGTCCGGGACTTGTTTGGCCTCAGATCTCGAAACGTCAACTAACAATCACTTGAATGGGTTTAGGGTTTAGGGCTTAGGTGCCTTAGCAGCGACAGCATGTGGGTGCATACCAATGCGAAAGATGCGCCTGGAAACACTTGTTGTCGGCAGGCAGGTTCTCACTTGACTGCTCCGATGACCAACCCATCAATCACCACTCATGTCACTTGCTGCACATCACCAAGCATTCATTTCACATATCACTCATCACGACCATTCCTCCCACTCCTCACCGACCACAGAAATCTTTCATCTTGCATATCATTTGAAAGAGTGCCTGACACTGCTCATTCAACTCGTCACCAACCCTAAACCCTAAACCCCAAACCCCAAACCCACCGACTATCCACCTGTCAGCTTTCACAAACCGCTTTGATCCTCCTGGGCTCGGGCTCCGGCTCACACTCTTTACGTGGCATGCTGGGAAGGTTCATGGTTTAAGGGCTTAGGGGTTAGGGTTTAGGGGCTTTAGGGGTTAGGGTTTAAGAGTTTAGGGTTTAGGGGCTTCGGGGTTAGGGTCTAAGGCTAGGGGTTTAGGGTTTTGGGGCTTTGGAGTTAGGGTTTAGGGTTTAGGGTGGCATCATAATATAGGGGGCTGAAACATTACCAACACTAGCTTGGGGGTTCCCTGGTTTCAACTATAGCAGACTCTACCCCAAGAACCCTATTTTAAGCATTAAGGCCCTTTTGTAAATGCTTGGAAGGCGCTGGAGCCACACTCTGACTCACTCCCTCACTCACTCCCTCACTCGGCCACTCGCTGTGTGATAGCTGACACGTCATTTCTGGTCCTCTCTCCCGCACAAGAACCCTTCGGAAAAATGCCCAACTAAACCCTAAACCCTAAACCCAATATCTGAGCAAGTTACCTCCGGAGATTCCAGGCCCTCTGCCGCGAAGCTGAGGGCTTGCACGATGGTCTTCATGATGTGACCGATGAGTGCATGGTATCCCGTGTCCCCCATGCACACGGTCTCGTATCGGCTGATCCAGCTGGGCGTGACGTGTCGCATCGCGCCATTCACGCGGCCTCGCTGCAACACCACGCCAACGGACACGTCTTGCACGGCAAACAGGTCCTCCACTCGCGAGCACCAGAACCCCCGGCCATACCCCTACACCCCTACCACAAAACTCTCTGGGTTTGCAGTTTAATGTTTAATGGCTCCTGGACCCTACATCCTCAACCTTTAATGGCTCTGGACCCTAAAACCCTAAACCCTAAACCTTTAATGGCTCCTAAGCCCTAAACCCTAAACCCTTTAATGGCTCTGGTTCAGGTCCTGGTGCTTGCTTTGGATGAAGCCTTTCTCCTGGAGGGCCGGCGCGAGGCGCAAGATCTCGGAGAGCTGTTGTACCGCCTTGTCGCCGCTGGTGCGCTGGCTCTGCAAGCGCTCCACGGCCGTCGCCATAATCGTGGGGTCTGCAGCCATGGCATAGCATGAAAGGCCACGTTCCAGTTGCAACTCATGCATAAAGCAGATCATGGCCCTCGAAAGCCCTGCAAAGTATTGTCGTGCATTGTTGGCGCCAGGAAACTGGACTCGTGCGTGGGTCCCCCATGCACCCTCCAGGAACTTTGCCATGCCATCCATCGGCGAATCGCCTTCGCTCTGCACGACTTCCTTCACCGCACCGAACTTTTTGGTAGCTCTCAATTCGGCGTGCTCCTCAGCCAGCTGAACCACCACCGCCATTCGGGGCCTTCTCTCACCGAAGATGATCTCGTCACCCTCTCCGTAGACCACCTCTGCGCTCGTCATCTTCACAGCTCTCTGTAGCTGCTCATTCCAAAGCTTCAGGGCCCAAGAGACCATCTTCCCCAAGATGGTGCACTGAAAAACCTCCAAGGTGCTACCTTTCAGCAGCGTCTCCTTCTTCAAATTCGCAGCTTTAAGCTCCGTGTTCAGGGCGAAGTCTAAGACGTCACCCAACTTCTGCCGCGCCTCGGCTTCCGTTCGACCACACACAGCCATCCTGGGTTGCTGTTAAGGAGCTCAAACTAAGTTACTTTGTTAGCATAATAAGGAAACCCTGCTATTTACCATATATATCCCCAGTAGGGCAACTTAAATTAAGTTGCTACAGTAAGGAAACCCGATTGTTTACTATACAAGCCCCATTATGGGAACTTGGGAACTTGAAGTAAGAGTTTCTTAGGACTGCGACCCAGCAGCAGCAGATAGGTGTTCCAATTCACCACATCCGAAACCACCAGCTTCTTCAAGTCCGGCATGGAGTTCAGGAAGGCCTCTGAGCCCGGACCTCAGTTTTAGGGACTCAGAGCTCAGGGTTTACCGTCATATCCATTGGTTTGTTACTATCACTGGACTTAGGAACACAAGCGGAAACACTCCACTCCGCATGGACTGAAAGATCAGTCCAGAAACGGATGTCAGAATCCCGCCCAATCAACGCATCCTGAACATCGAAATGACCGAGACATACACCAAAACACAAGGCGACTTCGACCAACTGAAGCGGAACACTGCGTTGAACACATTCTGCCCTGGCTTGTCGCATGTGCACCTTCTAATGAAGGCATTTGACTTACCGATCAGCGGAACAGCTCTGGCTGTGTTTCTTTTAACGCAGTTCTGGTATGTCACCTCGCAGCTAGAACTTGACAGCGGATGTAGCCAAGCATTGCGAGTGCTACTGCACAAACTTACCCAAATTTTGTTCCGAATTGGGTAGTTCTCAAAACCCTTTGGGGTCCTTTTTATAAAGCTGCCGTACTATATTGGGGACCTAAACAGGGACCCTAATTTAGGAAACTACCCAACTCGAGCTGTAGATCACAACCAGGGTTGCGGCGCAAGTTCTAGTAGGATTATCACAAGCAGCAACCCTAAACCCGTAAATAGCCCTAAACCCTAAACCCTAAGGAATAGTATTTGCCTGCCGAGTTCTCATGGAATTTAGGGTTTAGGGCGTAGGGTTTGTGAAGTGCTATCGAAACTTCTTCCAAGCAACTGATCTGGGACCCTTTCTTCGACTGGAAAAAGAGCATGGGAGGTGCCAAGAGGTGCTCTGCAATGGCCTTTGCTCCATATCGATGTCCAGCTGGGAGAATGCCGTTAAGGAAGACGCGATCAATCGTCCAAGTGCGCTCCGAGATATCCAGCCAAGACACAAAATTCGCAGATTCCTCCTTCTGGCTTTCTGACGAACTACACGGAACATATACATTGGTGGAACATCATCGACTTAATGAGAAGCAAGACGAGACACATTGCAGAAACTAGAACAGAAAATGGGTGACGGTTACTATAACTTTATAACCCTGCAGTCCTTTTGTAAGATTTTGTGCTGCCAAAAACCCTAAACCCTAAACCCTAAACCCTGCAGTCCTTTTGTAAGATCTTGTGCTGCCAAAAACCCTAAACCCTAAACCCTAAACCCTGCCGTCCTTTTGTAAGATCTTGTGCTGCCAAAAGTGCTGGATCTCAGCGAATTGGCCGGTACTCTTCTTCTGCTCCGGGACAAAGCATGTGCGAATCTCCAGAATCAATGGCTTCGCTTCCTGGGTTGTAGTTTTGGGGCCCTGAAAAGTATTTATGAATAGGCACCTCTATAGAAACCATAAGGGAAATTTTAAAGTTGCCCAAATTGGCACCTAGATTCTGTACTGTCCTTGAAACCAAGGGCATCCTTGAGGCTCTTCTGTGCTAAGCCGATGCCCACGAACTTTTCAAAGCCATCGATGGTCAAACCCGAGCTCACCGGCCCATGCAGCTGGTACTCCAAGCCGTTCTGCAACTCCCGCAGTGCAAGGGGCAGGTGGTCAGCCTGCAGTCCCGCTGCCTTCTCCTTCACATGCTCTGTCAAAGTCTTGTGGGGCGGTATCGTGGAGACTCTGGAGATCGTCGACGTATTCTTCTGCAACTGGTCAAAGACTGCCAGCTTAAACTCGGCTTCAAGAAGATCCGGAGTTATTGGCTGGCCATTGGCCTCGAGATCAGGGGTCATGAAGTAGACATCTGAGATCGTCTTGGCATCCGTCTTCAAGAGCGCCGCAATGAGCTTGTACTTCAAACTGCGCATCATGGTGACGACCGCCCCACGTTCACCTCCATTCGCAGGACAATCCACCAAGACTTTGATGATCTCTGTGGCATCATGCAACGCCGCCCCTGCTGTTGGCACCACATTACGGACCTCATCTGCCGAGCTGGAGCTCACGGTGACTTCATTCACCTCGCGCTTCTTCGGCATAAGGTACTGGCGCAGGGGGCTGTGGTAAACCGGTGCCAACTCAAAGCTCTGATCCACGTGGGCCCCGATCTTGATTAGAGTGGCTGTCTTGATCGTCAGGTCTCGTCTCAACACCGCATGCTCCAACAACGGCAGCTCTTCAGGACAGTCCAAGCCAACGATGCGAAGCTGTAGATTCTTCAAAACTTGCTCCACAATCAGAGACACTGGCAGACCATCCAGTCGGAAGAAGCTCTGCCAAGCGGCTCTGGAAGCTTTAGGAACTACAGGTGACGAGTTCGCACACCCCATCTTTGGCGAGCAGCGGCTACGGAAACGAACTCAACATGCGCTTCGAAGATTCCTGCATGCAAATGCACCTGGCTAGTTCTCCAAACTAAGGGCCCTCAGTCGGTCCCCAATAATCTTTGAAAGGACCCTACAAAAGGGAGCCCTAATTTGGAGAAGTAGCCACTCGTGAGCTTGCGACGTTTTCAGGGCCCCCGGGCAGAAGAGAGTGAAGGGCCCCTGCTGGGAGAGCTCCTGAGACCCGAGCTTTGTGATTTCAGGGTTTCGTGTCTCGGGTGTTCGGTTCGAAGTTTTTTCGTGTTTAGAGTTCCAAGTTCAGGGTTTTGGATCTTAGAATTCAGGATTTTGGGTTTCGGACAAAGTTTAGGAAGTAGTGTTCCGGGTTTAGGATTTAGGGTTTAGGACAAAGCTTAGGACTTAGTGTATCGGGTTTAAGGTTTATGGATCTTGGGTTCCAGGTTTGTGCTTCGGGAGTTGAGACTCTTCACTCCGAGCTTCGTACTTCGAGGGCCAGAAACCAGATTGCTTAGTGGGTTTAGGGTTTAGAGTTTAGGGTTTCGTGGAGTAGGCCTCTTTTGCCTCAGTAAATCTAGAAGGAGCATGACCCAACCCCTTTTCAAGCTCTGCTTGAAGACGGTATTCTCTAGATGATACTTAGTCTTCCAGCGAGTTTCCCCGACTACTTGGAGGTTCATGGTAGTTATAAGTGGGGTTATAAGTAGGGTAACTATAGATATTAGGGGACTTATAACCCCTCTTATAACTGCCCATGAACCTCCAAGTAGGCCCAAAGAGAGTCGGCCCGTCTGTTCGCCAATCGATTGCAACATCTAGCCGCTCTGTGATCACGTAGACTTCGAGGCTTTCCAACCCTGTCGATAGAAACCTCCATCACCACCACAACCGCAAGCGTCATCATCACTATCTGTGCTGGAATTACGGTTATCATCATCAGGCCAACACGGCGCTCCATGCGCAACATTAGTGGCACTCTGCTTGTGACTGCTCCACATCTGCAGTCCCGCAGAATCGCAACTTTCAGACCGTCATTCATCTTTATGGATGGACATTTGTTCTTCTGCTGACAATACACAATTCATCCTGTGCCTGTGACATCCTCTCGTTACAAGATACCTTCATCTGCTAGCACCACACATGCCGCTGCTGCCGCTACTGGTAATGCTACTATCATGGAGTCTCGGGGGGGGATGTGGAGGGGGGGGGATGCCATGGCTATTTAAGGGTAATTCCTGCGCTATTTTAGTCAGAGAATAATCCTGAAATAGAGCTTGAGCATCCCGAGCAGGCCGCGGCAACAAACGTGTCTTCTTGAGAAATACTGTTTACCCAAAAATAACCCAAAGATAAGCCCCAAATGCGCCCTATTTTTGGTTTATTTTTGGGTTATTTCTGGGTTATTTTGAAGTTATTTCTGGCTTATGTTTGCAACGCTATTTCGGGCTTATTTNNTGCATACCCCCCCTCGACCCCGTGATACTACTGCCACTGCACAACCGCCGCAACTGCACCACCACCCACCAAGGCCACACCACGACCAATCACAAAACAGCAACGGGAACCGTACAAGCGAAAGTACACGAGAACTATAATCCTCAACCCTGCCGTAAACTCTGAAGCCTATAACACTATCACCCTGAACCCTAACGCGGATCGAGTCCTGGATCACTGACGGAGATTCGTCTAGACGCGTGCCTTGGAATGCTGAAACTTGACGCACCCAGCACCTGAAACCCTACGTTAGGAACCTGATTAAGAAACCCAGGGTCGTTATTGGCATGCGATGCTTGGATCCTAGTATTTTGGGGGGCTATAGAACCAGGGTTTCCTAATCAGGTACCTCAGTACACCCCAAGCCCGGAACCCTATCGTCCTCAATCCCGGACCCCGTGGCGGGTTTTGGGCATTGCCGAGGATACCATGAGACGGCTGCTATCTTGCTAGCATCCTGAGGTCCTGAAGTTCACAGAAAGGCTTTAGGGTTTAGGGGTTTAGGGTTTAGGGTTTAGGGGTTTAGGGTTTAGCGTTTAGGGTTTAGGGTTTAGGGTTTAAGTTCACAGAACCTGAAAAGAAAGCCAGGAAGCCCTCGGTACCAAAATCCCATGGCTAGCCCACATGCGGGCCCCCGGGGTTTAGCCAGCTTGGGGCGCTTCAGGGTTTCTAGAGTTTCAATCTAATCTAATCTAATCTAGACTAATCTAATCGAATATAATACAATATAATGCAATATAATACAATATAATACATTATAGCACAACATAATACAATATAATATGATGTAAAAATGCAAGGTTTGGGGTTGAGGGTTTAGGGTTGGGAACCCCGGAGTAGACAGAGGAGGGGCATGCCACGCCAACTGCGCTGGAAACACAGAATGTGGCCCTTATTCTTGGGGCTTTCGGGGCTTAGGGTTTAGGAGGAGTCTGGCAACAGTTAGGGTTTAGGGTTTAGGGCTTAGGGTTCAAAAACAGCTTCTCCTATCATCGCCTGTTTTCAGCCAATGAAGGTTTGCACGTTTTAGGGCGGGGTTTCAAACTCTGGCGCTTTGCACTGGCTTGGCCCTTGTCCTAAACCCTAAACCCCAAACCCCGAAACCCTAAACCCCTAAACCCCTAAACCCCTAAAACCCTAAAACCCTAAAATTAAACCCGAAACTCTAAACCCCTAAACCTCTAAACCCCAAAACCCGAAACCCTTAACCCCCAAACCCCCTAAACCGTAATTCCATAGAAGGTCTTCAGGCTTTGCCGGTTTGGCTGCATGGCTCTTCTGTTGGTTCCTATTTGACGCGAAGCTACTTGCCGGAATCGCTCCTTCTAGCACGGCTTCGGTTGAGGCGTTTAGGGCTCGGGGTTTAGGGTTTAGGGGTTTACTTGGAGGGTCGGGGGACTTAGTAAGTGGGTAATAAGTAGAATTATAAGTAACCTAATAGGGATCCTAATTGGGGCTATGATACTTATAACTGTAAAACATAACTACTTACCAAGTCCCCCGACCCTCCAAGTAGGGTGCCGGAAGTCGGAATCCGATAGCTCAAGCCCCTAAACCCACATCCGAAGCCTCCAACTCTGAGCAGCGAGATGAGCCAAGACCACCAGCCGTAAACCCGACACCCTGCACCCCAAACCCTTAACCCTAAATCCCTAAACCCTAAAGCCTAAACACTAAAGCCTAAAGCCTAAATCCTAAACCCTAAACCCTTAACCTACCCCTAAACCTAGAAAGGGCAAGCTCGGACATGCTCGGACCCCAACCAAATTCCCGCGCCGACGTGACCCGCTGCACCTGGGCCGTCACTCTCGCCGTCGAAGGTCGGGTTTAAGGCTTAGGGTTTAGGGTTTAGGGCTTTGGGGTTAGGGTTTAGGGTTTAGGGTTTGGGGCGGGAGAATTTGAGGGTCTCGGGGCCTGCTGCTCAGCAGCTTAAGGAATTCGCAGCTTACGCTTCAATTTGTCTAGGTCTCATGGGTTTCGGACCGGGAAGTTTCGGGCTGCGGTTTAAAGCTGCATGGCCTTTGCTTCTCAATGCCCTGAACCCTAAACCCTGAACCCTAAACTCTGAACCCCAAACCCCAAACCCCAAACCCAAACCCTGAACCCCGAACCCCGAGCCTTAAACCCTACACCCTAAACCCTGAACCCTAAACTCCAAGCCCCAAACCAAACCCTGAACCCCGAACACTGAGCCCTAAACCCTACACCCTAAACCCCGAAAACCCTAATCTCCAAGCCCCAACACCCAGAAAAAACCTCATCTTCCGAGCCCGGCTCAGCAACAAACCGACTTCATCCGAGCTCCGCGCATGGTTCACCACCGTTTTTCGGATGGCCTTCTTCTCGGACCAGAACCTGGGGGCTTAGGATCTAGGGGGGTTTAGGGTTTAGGGTTTAGGTTAGGGGGGCTCAGGGGGCGGACGGCTTTTTTGTCGGGATTTCGGGGGCGAAGTAATGCTTTTAGGGTTTCGGGCTCGGAAGCTTACGATTCTTGCGCCTTCTGTGTTGCTCCCCGTCTCTAAGCCATGGAGCAGTAGGCCCTGGCCCAGAAGCGGAAGCTCCGGTACCCTAAGTGCTCGGAGCACCTAAAGCCACAAAGCGCCGAAGCCCTGAGACCCTAAGCCCTGATCCAGAAGCCCTAACAGCAACTCTTACAGAACCTAATCTCTCTAAAGCTCACACTGCATGCAGCCCCAAGCTCAAATTAACGCACTTTTCACCTGGCTTTTGGGGCCTGAGGGGCCTTGAGGGTGGAAGGCTGCATGGTGCTCGGGCTTCGGAGTTTTAGGGCTCAGGGCTTAGGGTTTAGGGTTTAGGGTTGAGGGTTTAGGGTTGAGGGTTTAGGGTTTAGGGTTCAGGGTCTTCGGTTTAGAGTTAAGGGTTCATGGGTTTAGGGTTGAGGGTTTATGGTTAAGGGTTCAGGGTCTTGGGTTTAGAGTTAAGGGTTCAGGGGTTTAGGGTTGAGGGTTTATGGTTAAGGGTTGCTGACATCCGAGCTTTGCAAAAGCCCTTTACAGGCAGAGAGCTCCGAGGGGTTAGGGGCCCGCCATCTTTGCAAGAAGCCCACACACCCAGTCCACTAGCATTAGCTTTACTGGGTTGCTGTTAAGGAACCTCATTTCAGTTACCATGATGGGGACATACAGTAAAAAAGGCTTCCTTATTATCGTAACTTAATTTCAGTTCCGTATCAGCAACCTAGCCAAAACCCGGAATCATGAAACACTGCGGTGCAAGGAGCTATCGCAACTGGACACCGGAAAAGTGTTCAGCGCCACGGAAATTTCATCACACCCCGGATCCCAAGAGTCTGCAACCATCAAGAGGCTCTGAGTTTTGGTTTGGGGTGCCATGTTTAGGATTCCGGGTTCGTGGTTTAAGATTCAGGGTTGTGGTCTCGGTTGTAGGGCTTAGAGATAGGGGTTTCCAAGCGTGCAAGGTGCCAGTTGAGGTTGTTGTACGCCGACCATGGCGAGTTGTGATACCATCCATACCTCCAGCGGCCGCTTGCCTACGCCTAACCTAGGTTGCTGACAATAATGAGGAAGCCTTGTTACTTGCTACATGTCGCCAGTATGGCAACTTACACGCGGTTTCTTAATGGCAACCCAATAAACGCTGCAGACGCGTCACCTCTCGGTCACCTCTCGGGGTCTGGAGATGAAGGAAATCAGATGGAACTTCGCAAAGGCACACATACCGACATGCTTGAAGGAGAGTAACTCAGATTCAGGAAAGCAGGCGAGCACACATACATACCCAGGTAATCATTTGGATATTACGTTGCGTTTGCTTTGCTTTCTTTCCCTCTCTCGGTCTTTCCTTCTGTGTGTCCGCCTGCACAGAAACTCGCAGAACCATTGTATTTTGTTCTGATTCTGAATGCATCTACATAAACATGTGTATATCTCCATGTATGCATACACATGCATGTGCATTTATTTCGGCATCACGGTGCGGGCGGCTGTACTTCATATTGCATACACATGTACTTGGATCGTGCAAGAAGCATCCAGGACCCCTGTGCTTACCCTAAGCCCGATAGCCTTGCAAACATGTCGGACTTCCAGGGTCAGTGATGCATCATAAATCAGAATCCCCAGGTCCACCTGGCTGATTAACTCCGCGGCTACCCAACGCATCAACATGCAAATCGAACGAGCCCATGACATGATAAATCATCCCTCAATCCGAGCTCTCCCGGGTCCCCCGACAGCATGGGGCTCAGCTTGGTCTTCTGCTTTCGAATCTTGTGAAACTTGATTGGCCCCACCTGAGAGGGAAAGCATGTTACCTGAGAGAAAAAATGGGGTTGGGGCTTCGGGTGGGCGGTTTCACCGGGAAGAAACCGAAGAGTGACGGGCTGACGATTTCAGCGGTTTGGAGTTTTCGGATTGGGGACTTTGCAGTTCAGGGCTTGGGCACTTAGGGCGTAAGGTCTGAAGGTTTGAAGTCTTGGCCCAAGCTAAAGTTCAGAGTTTAGGGTTTGTTTAGGGTCAAAACTTGTCAAAACCGCAGGGTTTAGGTTTGAAGTTGATGCCAAAAAGGTCCCGGAAACAGAATCTCCGGTCTGACCTGTATGATAGCCAGAACGCTTTGGGCCAATCATACAGTATAGCATAACAAAAGGTAACGTAGCAGCACATCTAAAATAACAGTACCATGCAACACATTGCAATGATGTGGTGTAATGCAACGTAACCCAACATAACCTGATACAACATAATACAATACAAAACAGTACAATATACTATAACATCCTTCGACATACTAAAATAGAATAGAATGAGGGTCCGGGATCAAACTCCCCGGCAGCGGGGGCCAATCGCTACGGACCCCAGTGCCCCTCGACAATGGGCATGCCATGGGCCGCAGATGAACATATGCATCCAGGAGGTCATGAGACGGTAGATTCCGAGCGTGTGGAGTTGCAGGTCCTTTTCAAAATGGACCACTGCGCAGGAATCTGTAACGCCAAGAGAGGGTTAATGCGCCTCTATCGCAAACACTGCGTGTTGATGCGCTTCATTGGGAGGGTGGTCGTCAAGATGGGCAGCCATCTTCTCCTTGAGGTGCTGATGGAAGTGCCGGACGTCACTGAACTGCAAATGTTGGAAGAGCTGGTTTCGTGGCCCAGAGCAACGTCGTGGCTGTTCTATGCAAGCTGGAAGTCTGCTCGCGGGACGCAACAACATGTTGCTACCAGCTGGGAGCCACGTGGACATGTGCTGATGCAGGCTATACGCTCGGGAACGCGGTTCATCGTCACTCCGACTGGAGGCTTGAAAGACATTGTGGAAGAAGCTTCGCCGATCTCTGGATAGATGGTAAGATGACCGCCGAGGCGCATGTGGAGCAAGAGCTTTCTCGAAAAAGTTAGCCTTGCCAAGAACAGCAAGCTCGGATGCTTGTGATTTGCTTCTCAGTGCTTTGTGGAAATCATTTACTTTGCCACCTTGCTTAAACGACCGCGTTACCTGGGTTGAGCTGCAGAGCGACAATCGCTGCAGTTCCCTGCGAACTGATCTTCTGTTAGTTGTTTGCTCGCATGCGTGTCTGTATCTACGCTGTCACTGTACACGACACATATGTCGGAGCGGGCATGGTTTATTCAAAACAACCATGTGGGGTTTGGTCTTGCAGTTTGCCTTCCCCGGCCCCTGGAGGAATAAGCTCAGGACTTTCAATGCTTGGTAGCCGGTTACGGGTTCTGCTGCGAATAGTAAAACCCTTGTTTATTTGTGTTCGCGCGTTAGGTGATGGTATGTTCTAGGCTTCGCATGCTTGAGTTTTGAGCGCTGGAGATACGGCTGTTGGCTCTCGTAGCGGGTTAGGCTCCTCGTGCACCCCTCGGGAATAGAACAGAACAGAACGGCATAGAATAGAACTAAGCAGAATAAAATAGCACAGAACAGAGTATAATAGAATAGAATATAATAGTGGAATGGAACAGAACTTGAAACTCTGCTCCAGCCAGAACTCCGTTAAAAGAAACCCTAAACCCTAAACCCTAGGCCCTAGTAAACTCGGCCCCCGGCGAGATCGAAAAGGATAGCGCGGGCATCGCGAGCGCCACCCATCGCGGCAGCGGAGACCCAGGCCCGGGGAAGCCCCGTGGCCCTTTCAAAGGAATCCTTACAAAGGGGCCTCCTTTAAGGGCTCCTTAAGGCCGGGATTCCTTAAAGGACTCCCCTTTAAGGGCTCCTTTCAGGGCTCCTTTCTAAGGATTCTACAAGTCTTTAAGGGTGTATACGGTTATAGGATTTCGGGTTCTACACCCTTTTCAACGAAGCTCAGGACCCCTTGAAAGGAACTCCGGGAGCTCTCTCAGACGGACCCTAGGAGTCCTTAAAGGCTCTTCCTGATAGGCAGTGAAGGGTGCCCTCTGAGGCTCCTGTTCGGGTTACAAGTAACGACTTCCATGCGGGGTACTCTGGGTTTTTGGGGTGTAGGGGCTTTGGTTTAGGGTTCAGGGCTTAGGGTTTAGGGGTTTAGGGTTTAGGGGTTTCGGGGGTTATGTTAGGGAGCTCCGTAAGGATCCCTAGGGCATGGTACAGGGTACAGGAAGTTATCCGCAGAGGCTTGAGGGTTGAGGGATGTAGCGTATCTCTTAAGGTCTAGAGGGGGTTCTACGAGGATGTCAGGCAGAAAGACAGATGTTAATAGTGGTATTGGGCTCTGGGGGAGAACAAAATTCTCAGACCCCCTAAGCCCTAAACCCCTAAATCCCCAACAGCCTGAAGCTTTGCAGTTTGAGAGCCGACATGCTTCACAGGAACGTGGGGAGTTGAGGCTTCTGGACAACCGAGGCATCCCATGCCTGGAATGACATGCCAACAAAATCTCAAACCTCCCCAAACCCTAAACCCTAAACCCTAAACCCCAAACCCTAAACCCTAAACCCTAACCCCTAAACCCTAAACCCCTAAACCCTAAACCCTAAAACCTACAGCTTCGAGCCCTGGGCCCGTCGGCCGAAATCCTGAAACCTTGATTGAATCTGCATTACTAAGACAAACATGCCCTGACACGCAATCGGCTAGAGTGGTCGGACCGAGACACGGCTTGCTTCTGAGTGCGAGTTGCAAGTTGTTGAAGGTTGCGTGGCGCTGGCACCGTCGCTTTGCAAAACTTGGTGTGGCGGTTCATAGTTCACTGAGGCTTGCAATGAAGTGGTGTTGATCTACATGCTTCCTAGCCGTTAGAGTTGAGCTTGTTCGGGTCCACGTGAAGAGACCAACCCAGAATCAAGATCCTTCGGTTCTTTCAGATCCCAACGGGTATATTATCGAAGACCGAAATTGATTGCATGGGCCTGGTTGGAACCACCGGATGCGTGGTCAAAGAAAGGGGCATTACGACTTAACAAGAGTTTGTGTATGCAACCTTTGGATTTTTCTGGTTGGTGCCGCACTGCAGACCTCATGCATAGTACAAGCAATGAAACGAGTTGCCGTTGTCATACGTGGCATTCTTGGCAGCCACTGCATCTTCCACAGCACGGCAAGCCTCAGAGCCAGCCCTGCATTCGCTGCAGAACTTCCGCAAACATGGCATCGCGGTGTTACGGATGTCTGCGGCCACCGTCCGAGCATCACTCGCCGTTTCGAGCACTCGCCCTATGTGCAAGCGATGGACACAAACAGGCATCAGCAGCCTGAAATCCTCGGCGCGGAAGGGAGGCTCCGCTCCGCCTGGCCCATACATCTCCACACGGTCCAACTCCTGTCAAAACTGCGTGAGCAGCCGTAACATACTGGCCTAGCATGGCCTAGCCCTCACTAGCCCAGACGGCTCAACGGAAGCAAGGTGCTCAACCCGCCTGCGTCAGGACTCCCGCCATGGCCTTGAGTTCTGCAGCTCCCAAAACCCAGCCAAAAAGGCGAAGCTCCTTCAGGTGTACGAAGGCCTGGTTGAAGCCCACATGCCACTGGAAGTGCCTTGTGAATCTTGCGTTGTCGCTGTGAAGGTGCAATACTTCCATTCCAGGCATGTGAGCAACTACTTGCGCCGCATCGCCCAGGGCAGCTGCGCTGTGCAGGTTCAGGTCCAGGTATGAAGCTGCCGACAGTGCACGCGCAAAGTTTGAGAGGAAGTCGCCCATCACCTGCCAGGAAGTGCCCTGCGAGCTGGAAACTTAACCCAACTAACATTCAACAATTGCACTACCAGTATTCCCGTCCTGAGCATTCGTCGTGTAGCGATCCTCAATGCCCACTTTAGCCAGCGTCTCGATCCATTCGGCTTCGCTGCCAGTCAGATTTCGCCCGAACTCCCCCAACCCGGTCAGCCAAGTAACGCACCATGAAGGATCTTCTTCGTGCTGAGAGGTTGCCTGCCCAAGGCTGACACGAAGCCTACGAGCACCAAAAACCTCCTTCCAAAAATCCCGGCGATGCTCGCAGAGGCTCGCAGCAGAGTGTGCTGGAGGGTCTGGTCTGGAGGCAAGAACAAAAGAGAATGACACCCTACGGCCCTACGAGCCTCCCACACTGCTCTGGCCAGCAGCCGTTTGCTTCCGGGCGACCTGCGGATGGATGCCAAATACCCTGGCGGCAACGACCGGACGACTTCGCGGACTAGCTCGAGGCTTCCTGTTGACAGCGCAAGTTGCAGCCATTCAACCTCAGGACCATCCGTGGTGTTGAAAACTTGCTGCGCGATCTGACGGATCTGCTCTAGCCCCGGAAGATGCTGGGTTTCCAGGCGAACTGCCTCAGCAAACCACTCAGTGAGGCTGAAATGCCTCTGGCGATCGCTGACGTAGATGGCGGGCGTGAGTCTCCCCGCCTTGTAGTCCCAAGCAGGCACAGGCAGGCTGAAATCACACCACTTCTGCAAGCATGCCATGAGTTTCAACAAATTGGCGCTGGCAAGCTGGAGCAACGCCATTGGGAGTTGAGGGCACCGTTTCTGCGACTTTCGGCAGGCTTGGAAGGCAATGCAAGTGGCATCAGTAGAGGTAAACACATTTGTGTCCAGCTGGAAGTGGAGCTTGACAGAGAAAAAGTCGCACCCGAGATGCTTTGCGGCCCAAGCAAGCGGAGAGTCCACATCGGAGAACTGCGCCTTCACCTTCTCGGTTCTTATTGAGGAACTTAATTCAAGTCACGGCAGCACAATAAAACAATCCATAGTACAGTATACATAAAGGTTTACTTGTTGGGTAACTTGATTTAAGTTCCTCAACAAGAACACGGCCTTGTGGTTCTCCATGGAGCCCCAGTGCCGATCTCTGCTCTCTGGAGACACGGTCTCTGACTTCAGCTCCACTACGAAGGAGATCTCAGCATCCCCAAAGGCTGGCAAAAATTTCCGTCTCAAGAAAGTCGCGTTCCAATCACCAGTTCCTCCATCCTTCCGACAGGCCTGATAGCGTTGGAGCAGGATCTCACTCTCCTGGCATTGCCTGAAGTGCGGCAGCAGCTCTGGGGCAGCATTTACAGTCCCGGCCTCTTCGTGCAGAAACCGCACCTGGAAGTTTCTGTCTGGAACGATGGGGACGAGGACCAACTCCAGGGAAGAGATGTTCGTCACGTTGTACTCAGAAATCTGGAGGGTAATGTCGCCGGTCTCCCCGACTCTACCAACCGCGGGAATTTCCACACGATCATTCTTGCGAGTGATCGCAGTGAGGCTCACCAAGACATCGATCACCTGCGGCCGGCCGCGTCGCAGGGCTATGTCTTGGCTCACAATCGGTAGGTCTTGCCATGAGCCCTGCATAACCAAGCTGAACTCGAGGTTGGCCATGACCTCCCCGCGCCACGCCGGCTCAACCAAACCGAAGTGAGCCGAGTGCCGTTGCACGGACACTTGCGGCCCACATGCGGAGCCATCCTGGGAAGATGTGCAGCCACGCAGTGAAGCGGTGAAGGGTCCATGTGACTGCAACGGGTCCTTCTCTGGCATCTCGCACCTTTGCTCATGGAGCTCGTAGTCATGATGGGCGAAGAAGCAGCCAACGTGGCCCCGATATGCATACAAGCAGTGGGGGGAGCCGAGGCACCGGCTCTTGCAAGAAGAGTTCGTTGCTGGAGCAAACTCGGTCCAAGTCGACTCAAAGCCATTCCCAGCTCCCTGTCCATGCTCAAGGGGAATCCCGACCGTGTAGTCTGCAAAGAGAAACGCTACTCTCAGCTTGCTGACATCGATCGGGATGGAAAGCTGGCTCCCCGGAAGCGCACTGAAAGCAAAACAGTGTAGGATGGCACCTTCTTTATCGGTGATCAGCAACTTCTGAGGTAACATCTGTTTTGGTGCGAAGCGCACTGAGTAGATGGTGCCCGGAAGACTTGGCCGAAGACCAAAGACTTCAACCTCTGCGATGCGTGGAATGGTCATGTTGTGTAGCTCCACAAGCGCACTCGCGGAGCTGGACCCCACCTCTTGGCCAGGGTGGATCCGAATCTCGCGGGCAAGGTAGTCAGTCCCGTTCGCTTGGAGAACTACCTGCTTGAAGGAGGCATCTAAAGCCAGCGTGTGGCGGTCCTGCGATGGCATGTGGGCCAGGGCCTGGCTCATGCCAGCAAGCTGCAAGCCGTCAAGCTCCCCCACGGAGCACGCATACATCGACATGTGAATACCCGTCGCTCCGATAGCCAAGGCCATCGCAGCGACGAAGCTGGGGAGAACCAGAAAGCCTGCATAGGATCCCGCCAGGCGCTTCACAGCTGCACGCTGCCACATGAGATCTCGAAGGAAGCTCAGCTCCTTATGGCTCCTTCCGAGCTCCTCTGCCTGGGACCAAGGCTGCCTCGCCGACAGGTCCCGGCCTTCACGGCCAGCCTGGACCAAGTCCGACCAAGAGCTAAAAGCCCATCCTTCGACTCTAATCGAACCTTCAGGCTGCTTGGTAGTGGTCTGCTTCTCCGTAAGCCCACCGGGTTCCATCTTCAGATGCGTGGAGTCGGCCTCCATCTGCACGGTACTTTGCATGACCTTCAGTAAGCTCATGATCGGAGACATCATCGCAGAGATCACCAGCATACCTGCACCAACGGCCGCCGCAATGGACACCGCACTGGACATGATTAAACACACCACGAGGCCGGTGTAAAGAGCCACACCAACCAGGAGAGCCGCATCATACCATGAGGACATGGGAGGCTGCTGAATCCAAACCCTTCTGGCCAAGGAAGCTTGCAGCAGCTGTACTTTGCAGAGAACCTGGAAGATACGGTAAACTCCAAACATGCTGAGGGCGAAGGCAAGGCCAATCAGAAGCCACACAAGCTCCTCAGGCGTGCTGGATGTCACCACCTTCGCAACCGCCAGCGTCTGGATGCTGATGATGGCAGCTACAAACCTTCAGCAAGCCAATCAAGCGAGCAAGCAACACAGTGCACAGTAAACTTTGGTGCAATATGTATGTTGTTCCTGATGTTCTTCGGCCGCAAAAACTGGATTCTTTCTACGGAAATTGAATTAAGTTGCCGAAAGAAGCATCTACAGTACACAACATGGTTTCGTTATTCTGGCGGCTGAAGTAACTTCCTTCACAAAAACCCAGGAAGAAAGACTAAGCTAATCAGCCTCGGCCTCGCCAACCTAAATCTGACGCAGAAGATACCTTCCTTCCCCTCTACGGTTTAGGCTTTAGGGTTTTTTAGGGTTTAGGGTTTAGGGTTTAAGGTTCCCCTCTCGCAGTTGAAGCACAAACCAGCCATGCCGTGACGAATTCGGAAAAATTCTGGCCACACCTACAAGCCTATGCAAAAACAAGCTTTGGCAACTCGCTTCCCCCGGAAGGGAGCCGAACTGGGCGTGGAGGGAAGTATACCCGCAGACAGCCCTTGCCATCGCCTTTAGGAACTTTGGGGCACACTCTCGCAAGGATGTACATATACCTATAGGTACAATCTTCGAGTAACTTCAGCCGGGCTATTCCAGTCAAGGCACCCGAGGGCAGAGGTGAACCCAGATTTCAGTGTTGAGATGGATGCAGAGACCACGACTGCAACATCCTTCAGAGCCAAAAAGGGGAAAAAAATGGACTACTGTAACACGGAGCCGGTTCATTGCAGTACTTCTTCTGGCCTCTGTCTCAACCAGACATGACAAGGCTTATAAGCTAGATGAGGCTTCAACGCCCCAGCCTGACGAAGCTCATAGGTTTTTGTAAAAAGCTTAGGTTTTTTAAAAAACCTATGTTTAACAAAGCCTTGACAAATGGTCCTTGTCCTGGCTTCCCTGCTCGCAGGGCTCCTCGCGAGGCTCTCGCCAGGCTGCCCAACAGGACTCGACGACGACCACCTGAGACGTCTCTACAACCGGACTGGTAACCTCAAGGTTTGTGAGGTTGAAGATTGGTTGTCGCCACTCTAGTAAGTAGGTTGTCTTCCAGGCGAAGGCAGAAGATCGATACTGCAGACTCAGCATGAGTGTGTCTTAGGAGAATTGCGACAGCTTCCCGCTCTCAACCCGAAATGCGACGCCAGCAGACCAGCCAGCCCAGCACCAAGGTCACAAGGACCAGTGCCAGCGTGTCAGGGATCCAGGCAGCTGGGCACCTCGCAGGCACTGTGGACTGTAAACCCTCTTGTTCAAACAGCTGTACCACTGTTGATGATATAAATCCTGCACTACCTTAAGGACCCTGAACTGTGGGAATTATGGTATATTCCTTATCATGGGTAATGCAGCAGGGTTTATATCATCAACCGTAGTAACTCGTACTAGCTGCAACCAGGCTGGCAGCCGTCTTATCTGGGAAACAAGGCCAGGCACCTTCTCTCCAGCGCAACCAGCACCTCCACAACTGTCGGAGGTACGGTTCTGCTTCATTGACATCAGAAAGTTACTGAGTCAGGAAACCCGAAACCCTCAACCCCAAACCCTAACTCTAAAGCCTAAACCCTAAACCCTAACCCTAAACCCTAAACCCTAAACAGTCTCTGAGGATACCGGGGGAGGTGGTAGAACTTTGGGCCGCTGATCAACTCCGCAAAAGCCAGCAGAAGCTGGCACCGTTTCGGGCAACGACCGAAGAGGGTTTAGGGCTTAGGGTTTAGGGGTTTGGGGTTTAGGGTTTAGGGGTTTAGGGTTTAGGGGCTTGGGGTTTAGGGATTAGGG